TCAAACCTCGCGTTCACCCACGAAGTCCCGCAAGTCCTGTTGTTTTCACATGGTGATGGTTCACTGGGGAGTGAGTGCCAAGTAACTGCGCTTTCACTCCTGAGCATAGCATTTTTTTTATTGCATGACGTGCCAGTCCTAGATATGCAGTTACCTACCTTTGCCGAAACCAGATATATATTTCTCGCAGTGTTCGCTGAATAACATTACGTGCGTCGTGAGTATTGGAGTATTGGGCTGTTAATTTACAGTTTTAGAGGATCTGCGTGAATGCTCGTGTGATGCGTAGTGGGCCGCGAAAAGTTTGCATTACATTGGGTGAATAATCAAGGTGTTCATGCTAAATAAAAGTTCTCGCAGCCCGGCACATCTCGTGAAAGATTAGAAGTTCTACATGAGGTCATTTAAGCCCGATTCAGCACGGATTACCTCCTTCTTCCCGACGAAAACTCATATCCTAAACATCTGATCTGGCTATATATAGTGATTCGCCGCTTGCCGAGAGCTGACGTAGCAGGTATTTGTTTATTTGCTAGTGTACTCCACACTTCAACAAGCCGGCAACTGATCAACGGCCCCAGTGGAACATTGGAAGTAAAATAGAGGGAAAAGAAAGGCAAGGAGGTTAACCAGCCTATAGGCAGCCGGTAGTGGAACATTGGAGTTTCTTATGACAGCAGCAGTCTTGGGTGGTCAGAATAATTTACCGTGTGTATGGTATTTCTTCGCAATACGTAGTAAAACTAATAACATACAATATATGAACAATAAAAAAGTGTTGGCCTATTTAGAGAGACCGAGTGTTTAGGACATTGTAAAAATTAGCTCAACTTGCCGTAAGTCGCACAAGGTTGGGCCACAGCAGAGCTGGTCCTGGCATGGCTAGGCATTTACCCTCTCACCTCTCTCTTTCCCACCTCTCGCAATGTTATACAACACACACCAATGCTTTCTTTTTTTTCTTTCTGCCTTCATGTGTATTTTTCTTTCTCTTCCTTTGTCTGTTTTTTTTCTTGGTCTTTCTACTTTTTCGCTCTATCTTTTTTTTCTTTTTTTCCTCTCTCTCTGTAATCGATCTCAATGCCTTCATATTTTTCTCCTTGCAACAGTTTTTTTATGGATTTCTAAATTAGGGGTGAAACACTTTATATTAATATCAGGTGTTTAACACCCCAAAACGATCATATAATTATGAGAGACGCCGGAGTGGAGGGCTCCGAAAATTTCGACCACCTGGGGCTCTTTAAAGTGTACCTAAATCCAAATACAAGGCCCTCGAACATGTTCCAGGATACTGGAACAGCTAATTTTGTGGTTACGGTCACTGACCTTGATGCTAAACTCTTCGCCGCAACATCACTTCGGGATACCACGCCGGCCAGGGCTGTGTAGGCTGCTGTAGCACTGACCATTGCTATTACCACGAGCACGTGCATTTTCACTGACTCTCGGGCTGCTGTACGAGCATTCATGACGGGGTCATTTTGTGAGCAGGCTGCCCACATTCTTACCAAAATTTCAAATAGCAGTGCAATAGATGGTCGCATCACCTGGTTTCCTGCCCACCTGAGCAAAGATGTCCACCCTGTTATCCCTATTGCAAATGAGTCTGCCCATGCCCGCGCACGCGCACTGTCCCACCATGACGGGCATTCGGCCTCTAATTTGGGGGAAGGCCTCCAGCAGCTTCATTCCCTTCTCACCTTCAACGAAATATGCAAGCACTAGCAATTGTCCAGGCGTAGATTCCCGCTACCGCAGCCACAACTCTCGAGGGCCCAGTCAATCACTTTACGAATGCTGCAAACCGATACTTACTCGTCGCCCTTAGTTTACAGTAAGTTTATTGACAGCATAAAGCCTCACTGCCCTCATTGCGATGAGAGACGATGCACGCTATCCCACATGCTCTGGCAATGCACGGCGCTGCGCGATGGCCAGCCTCTCACCACAGAGGACGCCTGGAAGACTGCAATCACCAGCTCGGACCGGGAGGTCCAAATCCGAGCTGTCCAGAGGGCCCGCAGGTTGGGAGAGGGGCATGCCCTTCCTGTCCCAACGTAGGCGCGGTCCGTAGTCGACCCACCCTCTTGAAGTACATCGGCTCCTCATAACATTTTGTGAATAACGTTCGTTGACTGACTGACTAATGTGGACATGCGGATATGTGCCCGAGGGCGGGTATGTGCCACAGGTTACGTACTATGACAACGGGACGCACAAGCCACGCCATAAGAGGCTTCACCTGTAAAGAGAGATGAGCCATTGACTTCAAACAAAATCAAATATGTATGGGTAAATTCTCACAAGAATCCCTTTGCCGTCGTCTAACACACGAGCCATTTATCCTCTTTCTGATCTGCATCACACTCCTTGATGGTATCAACGTTAAGCTTATATTTGACTTGACAAGGACAAAGTGTTCGTTGTAATATACGATGATGACATTTCACACGAGTGCACGTACGTTTTTTTTTAAATGCGGAGCATTTTCTAGCCAACTTCGGTGACGTTGAGCGTATCTATCTATCTATCTATCTATCTATCTATCTATCTATCTATCTATCTATCTATCTATCTATCTATCTATCTATCTATCTATCTATCTATCTATCTATCTATCTATCTATCTATCTATCTATCTATCTATCTATCTATCTATCTATCTATCTATCTATCTATCTATCTATCTATCTATCTATCTATCTATCTATCTATCCATCCATCTATCTATCTATCTATCTATCTATCTATCTATCTATCTAAATTATCTCTATAAATTATCTATTAAATTAGTGTAAAGGAGTTCGATGAATATGTCTGGCTGGTCATGACATGAATAAAGTGAATATCCCATCGCATACGTCGTCAAACCCTTTCCTCCAGCCACGAATGGCAATACCCGTATACCACGGGCCGTTGCGGCTATACGCCACAGGTGTTTGAGAGTTCATATCTACCCAAGACTGATTAGAAAAAAACATTATTTTTTTAAAGGCGAGAGCGTTATGAACCCCTGACTTCGGCAGCGTTGACCAAATTAATGCAAAAAATAAATAACAGTGTCCTAGCAGGTACAAACCAAGGCATTCTGCAAAGAAATGCAGAATTCCACCACAGAGTCACGCCAGGTGTATAAGCTGCTTTGGAAAGAGCCTTTGCAGGCGAAACGTTGGTGAAGCATCAGTTGTGCTTACAGTGGTGGCTATATACTCAATCTTGAAAGCATTACATATGTACTAATATGATACCTGTGTCACGTCGGTTAACATCATTTGTATACTTAATTGCCATCCACTGAAGTTGGTCAGCGTGCCCTAGTCTGGGCTACCATCCTTCCAAGCAGCATCGCTGCATAAAATCTGACTGCTTCTGTGTTGGCAATACCAGTGTTCCTCAATAGCTTTGAAGGTCTATGTAATACGCAAGTTGCTGTTGGTATCATTGCGCAACTGTAAAAAATGACAGCATATCCACGGAGTGAATGATGATGAGTGGGGCGTAGCGCTGGCGGGTTATATATACAAATATTGTATGTATTTATACAAGACATTCTACAATTCGTAATAGGTAGCTATACGTCGCTTCCGTTCCCCCTTCAATATAATGGCTTTATAGTCGGTGAAGTGGTGGATCGGTGATGGGGCATAGTGTGATGTTTGCAAGGACGAAGTAGTGGGCAGTTTGCCTGGGTGGAACTATGGGTGGTCACGTACAAACAAGGAATGGACACTGTGGGACAATCTATGGTTCTTTAACGCGCACCTGGATACAATCACACGATCATCTTGCATTTCATATTGGCTACTTCTCTACAGCATTTGCTTCAGTGGTGGATAGGTTAAGGGGCAAAGGGGGTTGTTTGCAAGGACGAAATAGTGGGAAGCTGGCAAAGGTGGAACTATAGACGGTCACGTTCATACATACGTACAAAGGATGGACAGACCCACGCCTTTGGAAGCTTCGCCTCTAAAACTGGTTACGCGAAACATATTCGACCATTCAACATATGTCTGTACGCACATTTTTACATATTTTTAACGCTACCAAGTAACGCATTGTTTCATGAAAAATTACTTGTATCATAGGTGTACATATTCTTTTTGAATACCTAGAGTATAATAGACAACGACTATGCTTTCGCAAAAAACGCAGCAAATTAGGTAATCAACCTCTGTCGGAGGAAAGAATGTTACAATATTGACAGGATGCAACTTCAGAGAAGAACGACTGAAAGCGCTTCTGCGCTTTTTGCGATCGACCGGACTTTCTGAACGGTTGTAGCCAGAACGACCTTCCTAAGTGCATTTTTGTTTTCTGATGAGTGCACGTGCGTTCTTTTCTCTATCTGTACCCTCTCTTTCTTGCCCCTTTTTCCCCATCTCCAGTGCTGGGTAGCAAACCAGATTCCAATATCTGGGTAACCTCCTGGCCTTCCTTTCTCTCTGTCTCTCTCTCTCTACCGCAAAGTCACCTTCCCGCCGCCTGCTTCGCATAACGTGGATACTCATGGTATGACATCTGCCGAATGTTGTCTTTGCAATGGATTCAGACTAATCTGCGCCCCCCTCCAGACGTTTTTTTTTTCTTTTTTGCGCGTAATGTGGTTTTGCATTGTCTCTGAGATCAGTCCACCTTTGATGAAGCGGCGACGTCATATTATGATGCCAGCACGTGACGTCATGTTACATTACGTCATGATGCCATCACAAATTGTGGTGATCTGTAACGTGACGAGGGCGTCCTGCGGTGACTATGCCACGTTATAATTTTTGCCAACACTCGTCATGACACCACCGATAAGGATGGTCCTTTTTCGCGTTTGATGAGGCATGAAAGGCTCTCGTTATTATTCATGTTACGTGACATTCCAAGCTTCACAATAAAGTTAAGCAAATCGCTGTAGCCAACAAGCATCGCTCACCCTTCTTAATGATTGGTCGCTTAGTATGAAAGAGACGAGACAAGAGCCAGTAGTGCTGAAAAAGAGGGGCACTCACCCTGTAGTGGCCCAAGTTGTTTACCACACAGGGCAGCTTCACACTGCGGCCCACGATTGCTGTCACGTTTGGCACTGGCTCGGCAAACTCTGGAAGAGCGTCGTGATCTAGATGGAAAGAAAGAAGGAAAGAGAAAGCAGCCAATCAGCTTTTAAGAACGCCACCCTTTTACATATACTTTCTACAGCAACAAACATTCAACAAGCGGCAAAGGTCAAGCAGCAAAGACCCAGCTGGGCAAGGCATACAACACGCGCCCTCTTGAAAGAACACACACGTACAATTTGGCAAACAGAACACTTATTGAACCCGGATATCAGCTTGCTTGTCAGCTTTGGGTAAAAGAGTAACGGGAATATATCAGAAAATAAAAGCACGCAGTTCCAAAGCACATCTTGGAACATATGTGGAGAGAAGTTTTAGTAAAGCAGGTGATTGAGTGCTATACAGCTGATTGCGCACAATGTTCTTTCTTTCAATTCTGTGCAAAGTGCAAGCTTGCGTACTCTTTGTCCCTCTGTGTGATGCACAGGTCTTACACCATACGAGAAGTGATTTAGCACAGATTTGTCGAGGCGGGACAAGACGAAGGGGGGGACACACGCTACACTTGCGATTGATTATAATTATCATCGGTTTATCGCAATATACGTATTATGCGCGTCAAATCAGCCGGTTGCATGCTGCAGGACGTGAACGATGTGTGCAGGTCAAAAGGCCCACAATAATCCTTCACACAAACTTCATCCATCGGGATAGGTCATTAGAGAGTTTTAGTGCTGGGTACGCAAGCTCTTGGGGCATTGCGGGCTTGGGGGCGCGCGGCGTTGCGTACCCAACCGATACTCAACTGAAATGCCTTATAGGGGCGCGCACGCAAACGCAAGCCGCACGAAGGTCGCATGCGCTCCTAAAATTACTTGTATCATAGGTGTACATATCCTTTGTGAATGCCTAGAGTATAATAGACAACGACTATGCTTTCGCAAGGAACTCAGCAAATTAGGTAATCAACCTCTGTCGGAGGAAATAATTTTACAATATTGACAGAATGCAACTTCAGAGAAGAAGGTCTGAAAGCGCTACTGCGCTTTTTGCGATCGACCGGCCTTTCTGAACGGTTGTAGCAAGAACGCCCTTCCTGAGTGCGTTTTTGTTTTCTGATGAGCACACGTGCGTTTTTTTTTCTCTCTCTCTATCCCCTCTTTCTTGCCCCTTTTTCCCCGCCCCCAGTGCTAGGTAGCAAACCAGATTCTAATATCTGGTTAACCTCCAGGCCTTCCTTTCTCTCTCTCTCTCTACCCAAAGTCACCTTTCCTCCGCGTGCTTCGCATAACGCGGATACTCATGGTATGGCATCTGCCGAATGTTGTCTTTGCAATGGATTCAGATTAATCTGCTCCCCCCTCCAGACGTTTTTTTTTTCTTTTTTTGCGCGTAATGTTGTTTTGCACTGTCTCTGAGATCAGTCCACCTTTGATGAAGCGGCGACGTCATATTATGATGCCAGTACGTGACGTCATGTTACATTACGTCATGATGCCATCACAAATTGTGGTGATCTGTAACGTGACGAGGGCGTCCTGCGGTGACTATGCCACGTTATAATTTTTGCCAACACTCGTCATGACACCACCGATAACGATGGTCCTTTTTCGCGTTTGATGAGGCAATGAAAGGCCTCTCGTTATTATTCATGTTACGTGACATTCCAAGCTTCACAATAAGTTAAGCAATCGCTGTAGCCAACAAGCATCGCTCACCCTTCTTAATGATGGTCGCTTAGTATGAAAGAGACGAGACAAGAGCCAGTAGTGCTGAAAAAGAGGGGCACTCACCCGTAGTGGCCCAAGTTGTTTACCACACAGGGCAGCTTCACACTGCGGCCCACGATTGCTGTCACGTTTGGCACTGGCTCGGCAAACTCTGGAAGAGCGTCGTGATCTAGATGGAAAGAAAGAAGGAAAGAGAAAGCAGCCAATCAGCTTTTAAGAACGCCACCCTTTTACATATACTTTCTACAGCAACAAACATTCAACAAGCGGCAAAGGTCAAGCAGCAAAGACCCAGCTGGGCAAGGCATACAACACGCGCCCTCTTGAAAGAACACACACGTACAATTTGGCAAACAGAACACTTATTGAACCCGGATATCAGCTTGCTTGTCAGCTTTGGGTAAAAGAGTAACGGGAATATATCAGAAAATAAAAGCACGCAGTTCCAAAGCACATCTTGGAACATATGTGGAGAGAAGTTTTAGTAAAGCAGGTGATTGAGTGCTATACAGCTGATTGCGCACAATGTTCTTTCTTTCAATTCTGTGCAAAGTGCAAGCTTGCGTACTCTTTGTCCCTCTGTGTGATGCACAGGTCTTACACCATACGAGAAGTGATTTAGCACAGATTTATCGAGGTGGGACAAGACGAAAGGGGGGGGGGGCACACGCTACACTTGCGATTGATTATAATTATCATCGGTTTATCGCAATATACGTATTATGCGCGTCAAATCAGCCGGTTGCATGCTGCAGGACGTGAACGATGTGTGCAGGTCAAAAGGCCCACAATAATCCTTCACACAAACTTCATCCATCGGGATAGGTCATTAGAGAGTTTTAGTGCTGGGTACGCAAGCTCTTGGGGCATTGCGGGCTTGGGGGCGCGCGGCGTTGCGTACCCAACCGATACTCAACTGAAATGCCTTATAGGGGCGCGCACGCAAACGCAAGCCGCACGAAGGTCGCATGCGCTCGTAGCGCCATAGCGTCTTAATGGTCACGTAAGTATTATTTATGTTTACGATTTAAAATGTTAAATTAAACTTACATAGTGACACGAAGTAAACTAATTTCAATAAATCATTTTCAAATGATATGACAGTTATCATCACGGAACAAAAAACGATAGTCTCGACATCTTGTGACACTTCGTGCAACCACAGTCATGCACATGTTGGCTTACGCGTAATGTTTTTGAAGTGGAAATGAATAAAAAGGTTACTAATTTGTAATAACGCCACTGCGCGGTTTTCTCACCAGACGTACAATGCACAAAGTTTCTGCAATAACAATGTTGTTATTGTCTGGTTCACTATGGCCGCGCTAGATGTCACCACCTATTCAGCTGGTCGGAGGGCTGGCATATTTTTAGTTTTTATGTTCCAGGACATTCTAGCTTTGGTAATCTGGCTGAAACATTGTAATCGCTAATGGTGCTCGCACTTTGGCTTATTTTAACTCGACGGCTTGAGTATCCTCAGTGCGGATACCGTGAGTTCCTGAAAAAGTGGACCTTACAAGGCGGCCGATCCATGCTGTCCAAGATTTGGTGCCTTTGTGCCATGATATTTGTATAGTGGCTATCCACTATAATATTTGTGCTTAAAACTTAAAAACTTAAAAAGTGAAAGTGGTGGCGCTGGCCAGCCTAGGCTTTGCTCGCCGTGAAGGTGAGTGACATGACGGTTAACATGATGCGCCAGGGCAGCTTATCTCCGCTAGGAGGACAGTGATGGCAGCGTTGTTTATGGCCGCGCGGACGCATCGCCCCAGCGATCTTGCGACGCATCTATTTGGGGTTTCGCGCATGCGCAATACCGCCACACCAACGTCCTCTGTACGCAAGCCGCTTGGGTACCCAGCATTAAAACTCCTGATTACCCGCTGCAGGTATACTGCAATACGTGGGTTGTATACGAACAAATTAGCATTCATATTTACTGTTCTGCAAGATACGTGCAGAATTAGGTAATAATCACTTCATAAACATCAATCATGCACAGATCGAAGAATGAGAAGGCTAGGAATAGTCTCCCTCAAAAGACACCTCGCTTAAGCGCCTCATGTAAAGCTGCTCTTGATCAGCAGAAGGAATGGTACAGCTCCTCAGCCATCTGAAGGGAATAAAGAGACCTATACCCTCTGAAAGTACAAAACTCGTTTGCTCCCTTCAAAAATTTACAAACTTATCTCAATTACGTTTTACGTATGCAAGCGAAGACAAATGAATGAAATCAATTTCGCTTTGCTCAATCACCGGTCCAGTTATACGGCCGTATAAATTCTGATAGATCGTAAAGGGCGAGCAGCAATGATTCTGTTCAGTCCCCCGTATCAACAGCAAGAATCGTGCTGCACCTAAAGCAGATGAAGGGTTCACAGCCGTTCAATGCAGCCGACGCCGTAGCGTCAGCAAACCACATCGAACAGGGGTAAGAGAGACCAGCAATTTTCTTGCGCATGCGCCAGACGGAGTGAGTGGACGCTAAACGAGCACGTGGGACAAAGCGTGGCCCATCGCTAGGCAGACAAAAAAAAAAGTGGCAAATAAAGAGGCGTGCAGGTGGGCGCGCACGTGAGACGAGTTGGATTAATGCGGCGTGACGAACGGTCCGGCCTGCTGCGTCACGCGTTCACCGGTTATGTGACTGCTTCGGCGTGTGCCGCCGAGGTCTCGTCGATGCCGGCCTCGACGACATCGGCATAGTCGTGGGTGGCACATACACACCGCGGAGGGCTGCTGCCCTGGTCGCTGGCACAGTCACCGACGAATACGGCCTGCCTTTACGAGTCTCAAATTTTATGCTTCTACGCTTGCGCAAGTTACCTCGCCGTTGCAAGCGCGAACAACTCGTCGACGAGATGAGTTTTTCATTCGTTTCTACATCTTGGCCATTCGTTTGCTCATTTGTCGACAAAGCAAAGATCACGTAGGGAGCGTATTCTTTTATCGGACAATTAAAATGACGTTGACGCTGGCAGCACTGTGAAACATTCAATGAAAAGTAAGACCGGATGACGGGGGAGGTGACGGAGAGGAGAATAGCAACAAATCCATTCATTTTACGAGTGATTGCTGTCGTGCGATAGCCTTATTACTATTTCCTTCCTTTCAGGTCAATGCAGCACTACATGTGTTCGCAGTAGTGGGGTGGTGGTTAGGGTGCTCAATTGCCGACCCGAAGGCCACGCGTTCGACCCCAGCCGCGATGGTCAAGTTTAGGTGTGTGCGAAATGGCAGAGGACCCTTCGTACAGTTCGATGTCAGTGCACTATAACGAACAACAGATGGCCAAAATTTCAGAAGCCCGTCACTAGCACGTCTCTGATAACCAAACTAAAATTGCTTTTAAAAAGACGCGGTGCTGGCTGCACAAACAGCGTTTTTGTTTTTGCATAAAACTGCTTCATAAATTTCATGTCATCACTGTTCGCTGTCAGAACCGGCGTGGTCAGATCGTGAAGAATGGTGAAACCCTTCATTGGTATGCCACTCAAGGCCAATGATCTGCCCGTTAGTTGATCGCTTTATTTTGCCAGTTCAAACGTCCACGCAACATCTTTTGACGTGTTTCAATTTGTCTTACGCGCGTTTTTTAAGTAATTCAGGGGGATCTCCTAAACGGCATTCCTCTTGCGGGGCAGAAGGGCTTTCATTGTATTCATTGACTATCTGGTTACACTCCATTGCTGCAAGTTTAAAATCTGCGGTAGGCTACCAGTTCGTTGTAAGCTGTAAACACAACCTCGGTGCCTTCTTATACTGCCGACTTTTGATTTTTCCACAATACACAGTAGACTGGACCAATGGGATATTTCGGGTGTGCGATTTCATTAGGTCAATCTGGCAATCCTCAGCGAGAGATAAGAACCTTTCGTGAATTTTCTGAAGATGTGAGTCTGGTTAATGCCAGGCTTACTACATCAGGTGTCAGGTGACGATTATATAAAATGATCACATATGCACATAGATAATACGTACAATCACATACAAACACACACATATATACACGAGTTAGTCTTTCGTTAAAGCGAGCGTTCTTTAAAAACACCAGCAATTCTTCTGTATTGTGCATCATAGAACCACTGTCTGGCATTGGTCCGAGAAGGTGCTGCAGCTCCAAGTGTCCCCATGTTTGAAGCGAACGTTTTTAGACACACGAAAAACGAGGACAGAATCAACAAGTTGACAAAACAGCGCTTAACTCACAACCAAATTTTTTGTTGACGAGCATAATATTTAAAAGCACTATGGTACCAATTGCACATGCCTATAGTCGAACAAGAGGCCTAACTTTCATCAGAACCAGCAGAAATATAACAGCATAGTGAAACTAACCACCTTTACTTATCAAGAAACTTACACTCCTTATTGTATAATGCGATGAATGGCTGGTTAACACCTATTAGAAAAAGGGGCTGTGATCATGCTCGTAAACCAGCCATCAGGTTACACGATAGGGATTATGACTTTTTTTATATAAATGAAGATTGTTTGTTTCGACATACTGTTGTATTTGTCCTGGTTTTGAGAAAAATTATGCCTCTCGTACGACTACGCGTGTGCAGCTGGTTAGTGCTTTAAAATGCTGTAGGTTTGACAGGCGGGCTAGTTGGTACAAATTCATAATGGAATAATTGGAAGCGCGAACCAATGGGACACAAGAGAAGAGACAAACAAGCGCAGACTGAAACTCAGTTTATTCAGAGAAGAAGTTATATACCAGAAAGATGAGAAAGTGAAACAACTGGGGACAAGGTTCCACCTTGATCAGGTGTCGTTCAGAAACGATATTTCACAATCTAACAGTGATATAGACGGTGAACTAACACAACTATCAATATTCTTTTTAATAAAAAAGGCTTTCGCAATCCCTCTAGTTTTCATGTCATGATGGCTGTATAAGACAGATGTGCGCGAAAAATCATGTACGCAGCCACACGTTTTGCAAAGGGCGGACAAATGTAAACCCGGGGCTAATTTCAGCGCATTGTAGTGTTCTCGCAGGCGAATAGGTACTGTGTATGAAGAAAGGGAAGGGATGCCCCTTAAAGGAGGCAGATAAACGACGCAAGTTTGCGGTAGTCCCATATGTGCACGATTTTTCGCATAAGATAAAAAAATGTGCAAAAAAATTCAACCTCGACATTGTGTTTTCCGCACGTG